AACGAAATGATTAGGCGTGGTCTTTGACAGTTGGTCCCGATCTTTAACATGGCAAAGGATGATAACAAAGCGCTTTTCCCTCGCCTCGTTAATCACCCGGGGAACGCTTCGAGGCTCCAGTTTGCCAGGCTCCTGCACGAACTTCTGAAGCCCTGAGTGGTCAATCACGGGCCAGGAATCCATGAGTTGATGGAACGCCCAAGCCCCAATTTGTTCTCCAGCTGTGAACTCGGCGAGCCCTTTCCTGGGGAACTGCTCTTCACCCCACTCAAGTAGCTTAGGGAGTTTCTTGGAGTAAGGCCCCGTGAATTTTGGAACGTCGGGAACCCGACGCAGCTGCGGCAGCTTTGAGGCTTCGACATCGACTATAGCTGGATATCGAGGGGAGGATCGGCTGCATTCTGAGGCGGGCCGTCCAGTGCTGTCTTGGAGGTCGGCGTCGGACATATCGACGTCGGGGTTTCCGGAAGGGTCCGCTACACTTTGAGAACTGCTGGACGGCGGCTGTGCTTCAAGATTGTCGTCCTCGGGTGCACCGTTGGGCATATCAACCTTAGGGCTTCCGGAACGCGCGGCTGCATTGTCAGGGATGGCCTGAATAGGGTTATTGCTGGCCAGAACTGCCTGCTCATCCCGCGTCGACGCCGGGAGGGATACAACGGACGATGTAGGTGGTTTAGTGCCTGTATCCAAAGTCGGCGATTAGTTATTTTGTTAGGATTTAGCGATGGAATGTCTGGGCTGCTTACCGGCTTTGGCCACACCCCGCTGTTCCCCAAGCTTGGTATCCTTTCGGGCATTATTTTTCAGCCGTTCGACTTCGGCCCGCAATCGCTCGTTCTCCTTAGCCGCTTCGGCCAGCAGTCTTTTGGTCTCCTCGTCCTTGGCCAGCCGTTCCTTGGTTTGCCCTTCGGCTTCGCTCTGTAGTCTTCTGGTCTCCTCGTGCCGCTCGCCGGTCTGCATTTGTCGCTCGAGCTGCGCGACCTTTTCCCGCAACTGGATGACCTCGGGGTCATCGCTGGTCGGCTTGCTCGCACGTTCAACCGCCTCGCGCGGTGGATAGCCGAGCGCACTGAGCAGCTGGGGCAGCTCATCCTTGGGCAATCTGGAGAGTTGGTACAGCAGTTTTTGCGTCTGCTGCTTGGGGTCTTGCTTGGCGGTGGCGGCGTGTTTACCAGAGGAATTATTGGTCTTCGCTTCTATAACGGCGCGCCTATTCGCCAGTGACAACTTATCAAACTCGGCTTTCGTCAACGTGACGAAAGCGACGTCGTCAGTTTCGGCTGACATGGCGTCGAAAGCGGCTCCATCGAGCTTGTAGTGCGAGAGAAAGGGAGAGCGGCGCGACGCGGGGCGGCTAGCCGCCTCTTATTGGGGCTAACGCGCCTAGTGACTGGGTGGGCTTTGTGGACCTCGGCCCACTAACGGTTCGTGCGCCCGCCGATCGTTGGGCTTTTCCTGGGGAACGGATGTGCACGGACGGAAAAGTTTGGCCAATTGGCCAAACTTTTCCGTCCGTGCGCACTCACGGCTGGCTACCCCCGCACGTCAATGTATCCTCATGGGACCCAGTTTGGATAAACCAACGGATCCATAGGTCAACCACGCGCCCGCAGGTAGGTTGCTTCGAACCCATCGCTGGACCTTATAGGGTACCTTAGAAGTGTATTCTTAACTTCGGGAGGCGCGTTAAGGATCGCTGGCTAGGGCTGCCATTGCGTCGAGGCTGGAGCGAGCGATGCTTGAGTGGAAGAAACAGATTCGCGCGACGTGGGGCAGCTGGCTGCAGCGCCGAGCAGTGGTTATGCATAATTTGTGGCTGACGTGACTTAGCGGAACGCGTTTTGTCGCGAAAAAGCTGAGGATAAAATTGCACTATGTTCGTCGCATTCAACACTGCATCCCAACGCGAACCGTCGCGCAAACTCGCACGTTCAGTTTGGCGGGTACTTTTCGATATTTGGGTGCTGTTAAAAGGTTCTAATCGCAGTTGGGAATCTGCACTGTCACAGGGACCTGGTTGCACGCGTTCAGTTGGATCGGGCCCTGCAACGCACTAATTAGTGCTGTGCAGGGCCCCAAGCAAATTGGGATATAGGCTTGTTTATTGTGGGTGAGGAACAGCCAACTCTGTTCACTCATATACCCACCGACGTCGATCCCGCGGGTTTTCCCCCCTAGGGGCTTGCGGTGCCGCGCGCGATTTTCCGAAAAATTATTTACTATAGGGAATTTCAAAAATCGACCCACGGCCACCAAACCCATCTCGGCGTTGGCCTCCAAAGTTGACTTCACCGTTTGGATCGAATCGCTTACAGGGTGGCTGACTCGTAGGCCCCACAACAAGTGGCCCTCACAACAGAATGAAAGAAGTGCAGGGTAGGTTAAATGCATGCAAATGCATGCATCCCACTTAAGCTATATACATAAAACTAGCCCAACCTTTAAATGTAAAAGCTACAGGGTAGTTACACTACTGCAGGGTAGGTGCCTTAGTACAGGGTAGCTATCCTATTACATATTGTGCTTATTTTTAACAGATGCAAACAATCAGACATGTGCATAATTTAAACGCTCGCAAAGGTGCGAACATAAAACCCCACCTTGCCTCTGGCTGTGCGCTGGCAGAGCGGCTCAGGCGCCGCGCGCTAGCGTGGATTAACTGCCCAAGCTTCAACTTGCCAGGAAATGGCAAGTGGGCCACTACGAATCATCGAAATTTGGTTGCGTTTGAAAGGACATCTCGCGCATCCATAGCCTCCAGGAAAGGTTCTTTAGCCTCCTGCCCTGAGAGACAGAGTCGGCACATCTTGCGAAGACTAACCCGGCTGTCGGTTGAAGTTCCAGCGCCAGCCGCCGGCCGGGCCCGAAGGTGCTGCCGCAGCGGGACTACTCACCAGTCCACACGCTGAAAAGGTTTTGGGAGTTGCGGGTGTCGAGGCGGTGGATGGCCTCGGCGTCGACCTTAAGGGCGGGTGCGATTAGGAGACGGGGCATTGTGGTGCGCGATCTCCCTCGGCGAGTTAAGCGTTGCTGGGAAGGGCTGCGCACGAAATGTCGGCTTAAAGCAGTCATTTAAGGATTGCGCTGCTAGTTGTGGCTCGGAGCGACCTCGGGTGTGATGATGATATTAGGTGCGACGACGGTGGTATTTCATGTTTGGTGTTTTGGCCAGGCGCGGTTTTAAACGGAGTTGTTTAATTGGCGCGCTTTAGTTTACCTATCCGGGTGTTGTTGCATGACAGTGCTTTTTGCTTTTCCGTTTAATGACCCGCTTGGCCAACATCGAGCCCGGGGAAGCGGAGCGATGGGGTGCGTCGATGCTAGGTATCTTGCCCGCTCGCTTCAGGTCCAACTTTCTCCACTGTGCAGGTGTTGCAATCGTCGTGCGTGGGTCGGTTGTGGTTGGAATGGGCATCCGGCCGCCGTTAGTGGCCACATGTGCATTCCCCAGAACGCGGCTGCCGACCACCCCAGGTCCAAGGGACAGTGCCAAGGTTGGGCCGGCTGGGGTTGACAGAGCCGCCGTTCCTGTTCAGACGAGCGCAAACGCCCATGTCATTAAGCCATTGGTGCTTTGGTCCCGCCGTTTCCATTCACTTGGCGCGTTGGCTGACGACAGAGGAGCATAACGAGCAGACCATTTTCTGGTTGCAGGCTGAAAAGGCTTAGTTTCATTTATTCATGCAGCTTATTCCCACGCCGCAAGCCTCGGCCTTCTCAGTTGCTAATTCCTTTCAAGCCCTGGCCTTTTTTTTCTCATCCGTGATGCAGAATTTCAAAAGCCCCATGGAGCCCCAGGCAGTTTTCCCGAATATGGCCACAACGGTTAGCAT